CTGAACACATTTCCTCTGCTTGTTTGTGTTACAGTGGGAAGCAACAGGCACTACATTGGATTTTAGTGAAAGTGTGTCTTCAATTATTTTGTTCATAAATATAGTCCATGCTGGCATATAAACCCGAGCAAGGCACGAATTGCAGGTGAATTTTGAAAGCTTTTAGCCTGCCGGCCCTTTTTGCAATACCGATGAAGGAGTAATTGAAAATTGGAAATACTCCAAATCGATTTTAACGTTAGAAACAAATTCAATGTACAAAGTTCCACCCCTGCAATTCAGAGCTGTGGAAGTAAATAAAGAGATCAGGCACTGTTCGGGGAACTGAACAAGTCTGTAATTTTGCAATGAACTCAAGCAGACATGCTGATTTGTTTAACGGTCATTTGGAGTTTAAGAAAATGTGCATGCCAGCCCATGTGCTTTGATATGGTATCAAAACGACCGTACAGATTTCCTTAAAAACTCTTAAAGGTTCGGTACCTGGAAAAAAAGAAATTCTGAATCATACCTCAGCGGGGTCAATATTAGAGGCTTTGCATGGTAGCCATCATGAAGGGCAGTTCCTTTTGTTCTACAGAGGAACCTCCTCTGTGCATACCCTGTGGAACCAAAAACCATTGGCCTGTAACTAAGATGGCAGCTCTGCTAACCCTCTATATACATGTACACGCACACGTCAGTTCCAAAGTATCTTTTTTCATCTAACCGACATACCCAGCCCTTTTGAAGATAGCAGACTTTTTGGATTCCAGTGGTCAAAGCTGTACAACCTATCCCTACTTATTTTTTACTTATTTTTTTTTACATGGAATTAGATCATTTTTTCTGGGCGCAACTAATGCATTCGAGAAATGGGAGTTTTATTTTGTCATTGTTTTCACGACGTGATAAAATTCCAAAACCTACACAAAACTTTTCCATTTCGAGTGTTGTTTTTGCACAACTTCAGTTTATATTTTTATCAAACCTTTTCATGAGACCTAAGTAAATCAAAGAAGTTTCGAAATAAAGCAGTTGTTTTACTTTATTCACGATCTTGTCAGGGAAGAGACTTTATTCATGGGTCGGCTATATTGAAATCGAAAACGAGGTTAACTCTTCATTTCAAACTTTGAGAGTAG